GGGGGGGAGGCTGTCCCAGGTAGCAGCTAGCCATGCCCTAGTCAGCGCTACCCAGGAAGGGCGATGGTTCCCAGGTAGCCAGTTGCCTGTTCACACCCCTACGAGCCACTAAATAAAAACAACCAGCTGGCTAAGAGAAAACGGAAGCGTCTGTTTCCAGGCTAGAAACTCCCCAGGTCTGATTGCCACGTCTGTCTTGCTGCTGCTGCTTTTGTGCTAGGTGATGGCGCAAAGAGAAACAAACACCGATCCCCGTCTCCTAGTGACCACCCTTTTGTAGGAGCATAATTACCCGTCGCCGGTAACGCACACCGGGCCTTGGCGCGCGTCCCCCCAACCCTCGACAGACGTTTCCCCGGCCTCAGAGCGGGGTTGGGGCAAGTTCTTGACAATGCCGCCTGCAGCGCGTGCGTGCCTGGAAGACGTGTTCCCTGCTCCTCGCTGAGCGGCCTGCGTCACCACCTAACGTTTCCGAACAGTCGCCAGCGTCGGCTCCAGCTCAGTCGCTCACCTGACTCACAGGCAATTAGAACAAAGCCTCCGGCTGGATTCACTGCACAAAAGGTGTGTGAGTCAGGGGGGAGGGGGGATTACACGGCCATTATGGGAGACCACGTGGCCCGGCTTTCAAATCCGGACTAGCTGCCTCCCAGTCCCCCAGTGGAGGGGGCAAGAGGCCAGGGTTGGCGTCAGCTGGCTACCCTGAGGTCCCTAGGCCTTACTGCCATTGGGGCACATCCGCAAGGCGCGTTTCTCCTCAAGACCTCAGACCTGTCGGGAGCGGCCGCTTGCCAGAGAGGGAGGGTTACAATCACGCCTCCAGAGAGACCCCTCCGCTCCGGCAGCTATTTCTGCCCCTCAGAGCAGCCCCCGACTCAAAGTCTCTCTCTCCCCTCCCGCAGGCGGCGGGAACGGCTCCCAGTCGGAGAGGGAGCCGTGTGCATCCGTTTCAGCACACACCACGAGGAGCCCGGTGGCACTTTAACGAGTTCATTAGGGATTAGGAAAAAAACCCCAATAAATCCCTTTGTTTTTAAAGTGCGACCAGACTCCTTGCTGCGTTTCCAAGCGCGCCAACGCAAGCGTCTTGGAGCCTCGGGCCTGTTTCACTCGCCTCGCCGTGCCTGCTGGAAGTGAGCGTGGGGACGGGCCTGCGGGGTCTAGCGAGGGCTCTATCCTCCCCACTACAGCCACCCAGGGATCCCCTTCACTGGTACAAGCTCTCCCCCTCCTGGGAGGTTTCCCCCCTTCCCCTCCCCCCAGCCAAAATGGTTCAGGGTTGTGTGGAGCTGAAGTTTTACCCTCCCCTCTTGTGGAGACGAAACCTATTTAGGCAACAAGCAAAGCAGCCAAGGTTTCTGAAAACGGCCTCACGAATGGATCGAGACAAATAATCCCCCCTTCTCCGTACGGCGCGGCCAAGCCTGCGCCCCTACAGCAAAGGGACCGTTACAGATTGACGTGGGCTGTCCGCACCTTTGCATGGAAAAGCAACCCGGGAGTCAGGACCCAGGACAAAGAACGCAGGAACTAGTCGGAGGCGGCAGCACTGGGAATTGCCGAGGGTGGTTAATATTCAGTGTCCCGATCCCGAAGAGCCCAGCGTACGGCGTTTCCATCCCACAGTGTATCGGTGCCTCGCGACTCATTTGGACTTAGGCCTTGCAGCCCAGAGAGGAGCCAGCCACCTCCCCAGGGCGATTCCCCGCAAAGGGTTTAGAACAAAGAGGAACTCGGCTGCTCTGGAGAAAGGAGGCAGCAAGAGCCGCAACTCCAGCTGGTCTGGCGGGACCTGTCCTGCCATGGATGGACACCCCAGTGGGACTTTTATCTGGATACAGGTTGACCCTCTCTAGTCCGGCACTCTCTGGTTTGGCAACATCTGTGGCCTGGCATGATTTTAGCTATCCAGATGTGCACTTGTCATGGGTGCGGCCGGGTTTCCCGCGGTCCCATAAAGTTTGCTTACAGCCCCCGGGCCTGGCTCTCAGTGTTCAGGGCTGTGATTTAGCTCTAATTCACCCCTCGATGTACTTGGAATTTGTCACAGCCCCTCCGGGAGGTCGGGTACAACTGCCTTCCTTACCCTAGCCGAGCACAAGCGTACACACCTGTCCGAGGCTCCCAGAGGTGAGTGGCAGACCTAGCAGTTAGACGAGTGGTCCCCCATGCGGGGCCCGCGGGCGCCATGGCATCCGCCGGGGTGGTTACGTGCGCCCGCTGAGTGACCAGGGCCGGCCCCAGCCATTCTTGCACCGCAGCGCATGTGTGGCCCCACCAGGTTGGGATCACGGAGTTAGACTCTGACCTCCAAATCCCCCGAGTACAAGGCATTCTCCCTCCCCTGCCCTCCCCACTTAGACACCTCACTGTGCGGGCACCACCATCTCCATCACTTAACAGAGACACAGCCGGGCTGCTCCACTTCACACACTCAGGGGATGTTCAGCACGAAGCGGGGACGTCAGCCAGCAGGCATCCCCAAGACACGCTCTCTTTGGCCTACAGCAGCGGCAGGGCTGCCAGCTCCTGGGAGAGGGCCTGGTTGTGCTACCACAATGCAAACAACCCTGCCAACAAACGCCTGCTCCCTCTGGGAGGGAGTCGGAAGGGGGCAGCTATGAACGGCCTTTTCTAGCTTGCAAGGACACGGGCGGTTTGGACCAGGAGCTGGTGCAAGCAGCCCCTGCCTTGGACTCTGAAGGTGCAGAACACAGTCCAGGAACTCTTCCAGGGCTCTGCTGCCCACGCGCAAAAGAGAACAAGTGTGCAAGAAATTCCACCTCTGCAATACCAAGGGGGGGGGCCTGATCCCAAGCAAAGTTACAGTCTCTGGCTGCGTCTACACGGGCATGATTTTGCACAAATACTTTTAACGGAAAAGTTTTCCTTTAAAGGTATTTGCACAAGAGAGCGTCTACACTGGTGTGTGCTTTTGCGCAAAAGCATCCGTGCCGGTGTAGACGCTCTCTTGCGCAAAAAAGCTCCGCCGGCCATTTTAGCCATCGGGCTTTCCTGCGCAAGAAATTAACGTTGCCTGTCTGCACTGGCCTCTTGCGCAAGAGGGCTTAACCCTGAGCGGGAGCATCAGAGTATTTGCACTTTTTGTGCAAATACTCTTGGCCAGTATAGACAGGCGGCAAGATTTTGAGCAAAATCTTGCCAATGTAGACACAGCCTCTGAGAATCCATCCATTCACTGGACAACAAACAATACCTGCGGGCCCTGAACTTAGTTTCCTCCTCCAGTGTTTCTAAATCTCCAGACCCCTTATTCCTTACACACACGTCATCATCTCTCGATTCATTTCCAGCGTCACTACTTTATATCCAGCTCTCAGATGGACGTTGGATTCCTAGCCCTAGATTTCTCAGCTGACATTGATTCTCTTCGACAATCACAAGAGAATTGTTGGGAGTTAGATCTGGAAGTTACTCTGCGTTTATCAGGTACAAGCATTGTGAGCACTTGCATGACCCGTCTCCTTGCGTGCTTGGCTTGATAACACATCAGTAGCGCTACATCAGAACAGCCAGAGACCGTAAAAAGTCTCATAGGGTGATTATCAATGAAAAACGCTTTTCAACTAAACCCAACCCTGTAGTTAAGGGACTCCTCTTCCTTTGCAAAGAACTTGATCCACTGATGGGTCTAGCTAAAGCTAGGATTCTGCAAGACCCAGACACTTCAGACCCAGCCCCCTGGCGGAAATGGGGCAGGAGTCCTAGCTCTGACAAAATTCCTGCACTGGAAGTGGTTTTATTTTGTAGATGGGACTCAAGGAAAACCTGCCAGGCATGGCCGGGGAGAGAATGCAGCTGACTGACGTGGGCTCTTCACAGAGGCTAAGAGCACCCTTCAGCCTGCCAACCTGGACACACAGCACTGGCAGAAAGGGGTGTACAGTAATTCCTCATTTAACACGTGCCCGCTTAACATGTTTTCGCAATAGCATGATTTTTTTTAGGGAACATTTTTTGAATTACACGACCGTCCCCGGAATAACACGATTTCCCCAGCTGGCTTGTTGCCGGCGGCTGCGCGGGGCTTCCCCTGCCTCCCTGCAAAGCGGCGGAGGGTTCACCGCTCGCCGCGCCATTCCCCACTGATTCCCCCTCGCCGGACGCCTGGCCCCCTCTCCTCCGCCCCCGCTTGCAGGCCAGCGGCTGGGTTTCCCCAGCCGGCCTATCGCCAGCAGCTGCATGGGGCTTCCCCCACCTCTCTGCAAAGTGGCCGAAGGTTCACCGCTCGCCGTGCCGTTCCCCGGTGACCCCCCCCTCGCCGGACGCAGTGAGAATCCCGGCAGAACCGTCACAGGGGCATACTCCCAACCCAATCTCCCTCCCCTTCCCTTCCACAGAGCCAAACCCCTCCCCTTCCTGCTGTAACCCAGTCCCCTTTCTCCCCCAACCTTATGTCCCAGTCCCAACAGACACCACTACTTGAAATGCCACTCCCATCTTTTCCATTATTTTCAATGGGAAAATTGACCGCACCTAGCACGTTTTCACTTAACACGATCGGTTTCTGGAACGTCTCTATAGTGTTAAATGAGGAATTACTGCACAGTCTGCTACATCCCAGGCTCCACCATTACAGCTGAGGCAGGCTCCCCATGGCGAGGCTTTGCCACTGTGTGGAAGCACCAAAACGCCAGGAGTTCCGGGCGTTTGCCCATGGAGATGGACAGGCAAAAACAGCAGGTGTGTCAGGGGAGTATCTGTGGCCACACCCACCGTCTGCATGGGGGGAAGGGAGACAGGTGAAGGAAAGCTCCCGGGCTGAGACGCTGTGCGCCCATTCACGACCCAGAGCTTTGCAGACAAGTTACTGTGAGCCTCTGCCTGTGGGCCCTTCCCCCCACCCCAAAAAAAACATGCCAGAAGACCCAACTGAGCAGTTTGTCATTGACTTCAGCGGGGCTGGAATTCCAGCCAGGAGTTAACACGGAAAGAAAGGGAAGGGAAAAGGAAACCCACCCACAAACCGCAGACCTAACAAGCCCAGGCAACTTGTCACCTCCTGGCCCTTGCTGTGGAGCGAAGGCGCGACAGCCTGCCAAGCCTGGCATGAAAAGGAAAAAAATCAAAATCCCAGAGCAAACATTTATCCACCAGCTAGTCACCTTAGCTCGCCGGAGCACCGCAGGTGGGCACTCGCGTGGTTCAAGGACTGCACGTCTGTGACTCAAGAGGAAGTGATCAGGAGACTTCTGGAACACGACCCATTATGTTTGCATATACAAATGCAGTAATGGCTAATTATTAATAAACTGACTCTGTGCAGCCGCACATCTGCGCCCGCCCGCCCCGCATCTACACAGTTACAGACACGCACTGGAGCAAAGCAACAGCACCTTGAAGCTTGCACCTGTTTACTGGCAGGGTCTGCTCTCTCAGAAGGCTTGACCTCGGACTCTACAGGGCAGGTGAAGCCTGTGTGC